GAGATGCCCCCAAGGTTCCCTAAATCTCCCCCCTTCTGCATTTAAGCCCTGTGGAACCAAACCAGATACAACATTCTGCTATAGACCCAGGATAAACCTCCACTGAAAGACACAATGTAATATTTGCAAGCACGTCAAAGAGAAATTTGGCCTTAGGTGTCCAAGGCTGTCTTAATCCTTGTACAGCAAAGATAAGAGAAAAAATGACTTGGTTCTTCCAAGTCATTCAAGGCTTCCACTGATCCATGAGGCTTTCTTCTAATAAGTGATGATTCAATCCACTGAATCCATTCTCCTCATCTCTTTGGAGGTAAGGGTATCACCTTTTGGCAGTAATGGTGCCAATGTACCCAGCTAAGGTATTTTAGAAATTCTAAAGTCCAGGATGGAGCTAGCATGAAATCTGGAGACAATAACAATAATGATATTTACCATTTGTTAAATATTGAACATCGTGCTAGGTAATACCTTATCTCATCGAATCCTTGAATCTACAGCTCCATTAGATAATGTTATTTTCCTTTGTAAACAAGAAGGTTCAGTGCAGCAGACTGCATTTCCCAAAGATAGCCACAACCTACATAACCTAAACACTTGTCCATCAAAAGATGGAGTCCCGGGCTGGCCGAGTGGCGCGATAGTTAAGAACTGGCTTGGGACGCCAGAGGGCCCCGGTTCAGATCCCACATATGAGGGCCAGTGACACTGCCCTCTACAGCTAAGATGCTGAACAACAGCTCAATCTGGAGCTGGGTTGACATGAGTCGCTGGCGACGGCGGCGTAGGCTGCAGCCCCTGTGGCAGTGGGTTGCCATGGGCTACCGTGTGTAGCCAGCAGTCAGCGTGAGCGGCCAGCAGCCGCAGTGAGTGGCCGTCCAGAAGCCGGTGACTGATCTGCCTCGCCCGGGAAGAGCGCAATATTGGTGCCAACTTGGGCTAGTGAAGCAACGTCCTCCACAACTAGACTGAAGAACAAAAGCACAGCAACTTGTCTGTTCCCCTTCCCCCAATTCCCCAGCACTGTTCCCTTCCCCCCAATACCCCAATAAAAATCTTAAAAAAAAAAAAAAAAGATGGAGTCCCTTTCTTCACACACACACACACACACCCCTGGAAACTGAGCAAGCTCCACCCATGCTTTAACCAGTGGAATAGATGAAAATGGCACTGGACCAGTTCCGGATACAACATTAACTGACTGGAAACTTCTTCCAATCTCAGGGATGGGAAGAAGCCATGTTTAGGCCCTTCAACCAACAACCCTGGCTGAGTTCTCAGCAAGTATCAACTGCCGGTCATGTGAGTGTACCATCTTTGGCACCACCCCAAAGAGCCTTCAAATAATTCCAGCTCTAGCCACATCTCCCTGCAACTGCATGAGTAATCCCAAGTGCCAGTCGCCCAGATGAGCCTACTCAAATCACAGAACTGTAAGCAATCATAATGAAGTTGTGTTTAAAACCACGAAGTTTGGGGGTTGTGTGTTATGTAGCAATAGATAACCAGACTACTGAGATCAGTGTACTTCCCTAGGAACAGTGAAGTATTAGAGCCAGATCCAAAACGGTCCACAGCAAAACATCTATTAGTTGTAGTTGATGGGATGTGGAATACCCAAAAGAAGTAACTACCAAACAAAACTCCGTTTTTCTTCCCTCTCCTACCCCAAAGCAGCCTCAGGGTTTTCTGAGAAATGTCCTAGGATGGTGACAACCTCAATAAAATCAACTCCCTTCTCGTTTGCTTTCTTCCAGTATAAAATAGGGAAAATGAGAGTTTCCCCCACCACCCTATGATAACTAATGAGAAAGGAATCTGTACAAGATGTTGACTTTGTTATTAGAATATCATTATATCATTATAACTGTTATATAAAAGGATTCAGATTTTACACATGAAACTTGAACTCTCATAATGAAAATATATTTAATGACTCACAGGACTACATTTGAGATTCACAGTGGGGACAGGGAAAAATGCATGAATAAGCCAAGAAGAAATTAAGCGAAAAACTTTTTTTTAATGAAAGAATTTTTGACGAAGAAATGAAGTAGTATGAGAAAAAGTCTATACTTTAACAAGTATCCCAATGTATGCTACTTTCATTATATACTGGTGCCCACCTCTTGTATTCCTCTTCCCCGGCATATTGGAACTCAATGGACTCATCCCTTTTCAGAACCAGAGAGAACCTTACAACTCATCCAATTCCTTCCTTTTAACAGCTGAGAAACTGGAGCTCAGGGCAGGTAACTGAGCAGGAAGGAGTCAAAACTATTCATTAGTAAGAAAACCAAACTCTTAGTACTGGTGCTACTATATTGTTAATTTTTATTTTACCAGAACTTTACCTCTAAATGTCTTCAATGTATTTCCAATTTTTCTAGCATTTCGCAGTGTGAACATGAACAATTAGGAAATCATGCTCTGTTATCAGTCTCTTCTTCATAACTGTATAAAAGGGTGGCACCGAGACTGCTGTTTCTGGCCGTCACAGATAGGATGGTGACTATGTAGATAGCAAAGGTGTGCCACTTCACAGACACAGGCTGCCAAGTTACTGACCCCAGTTCTTCAGACACTAACATCTTAGCCTGAATTACTTCAATCAAATATCATGGCTGCCTTCCTGCTGATCATCACTAGAGACCAGGGGACTGACAAACTGGAACGTTTAAATATGGGGTGATTTTGAAGCAGACAACAGGACAGGAAAGGTATGAGAAGGTACCTGAGTGGAAGGCTTCAGCCAGAGAAAAGAGGGATCAGGGTGTACAGAAAGCAGAGTAAGAGAAGGGTCCTTATAACAAACGCATCTATGTAACAATTCTGCCTTGGGCAGCTGGTTTCGTTCCAAAGCCTACCTCTGCTTTCAGGCTTCCCATTAAGCTCCCCTCCAGAGATGAAGGCCTTCAAAATCAGATAAGATGTGGCTTTATTCTGGAACTCTCTATGCAAGCACTCTGTAATTCTTTGAAGTGCTCCATAATTCTACAGATTTCGCTACAACCTAATCCACAGAAAATATTAAATTTACCTCTGTACATGCACGCTACAAAATTATACCAAACTGTCAAGGAAACAGGCCCAAATCCCTTTATTTCTTTTCCACCTCCTGCAATGAAACTGCAGAGAAAGTCCCTGGGTGCTTTTTGTTGCCTGGCAGCTGAAATGTGCAACTTTTGGAAGTGTTCAAGTAGAATCAAGAGGCCTGGGCTCAGTCCCCCAACAAGGTCCAGTCCTAATTCCGTAGTCCCTGACTCTCAAAGTCACAAGTTTTTAGTTCGGATAAAACCAAAACACCTCACTCAGAAATGTGACTACCCACCGCTTTTAAACACTCCCAGCAGGGGTGGGGAAAAAAAAAAGAAGCAGCAAAGCGAGAAAATAATTTTCTTCTTCCTATATTTGTAGCAGTGTTTGATTGTAGGGAGGGGGATGACTGCTAAGAGGAATTGTGTACAATCACTGGCAAAAAAAAAAAGTGCCTGTAAATGACTGGATCTGACATGTATTCACGTGTCCCCCTCACACCTTCATCAGCCCTACAGAAAGTAGTCTCCAACCCCGCCCATTTCCTTTTTGCAAAACATGCATGACCAATGCAAGACGCTCGCTCCTATAGAAAATGGAAAATGAAAATAAAATAGCCTGATAAATATGTGGTAGGAAAAAAAGAATATAAAGAGCTGCATTGACAACTGTTCTCATAGATGTATATGTTTACAGCAAATGACCAAATTTAAAGGGAATCAAAATAAACATACCCTGTGTTCAGACTGCTATGGATTATTACTGATTCTGCTATTGCATTATTGTTTATCTCATGCTGAACCTACACCCAACAGCAACTTGGAGAACCCCTCACACAACCACCATCTTTACTTTCCATGGGGGTGAAGGGGGGGTCAGTAAGGAAGAGGATGGGATAGGGTGGGATGGGGTGGGGTGGTAGGGTGGGATGGAAAAATAACCTGGTCTTTGAACCAACGTTTTCCCCTGGTCCTAGTGAACTCTTTGTCTTGTTACTGAACACGTTTGTGAGATCAAGGAAAAGAATCCAAACAAAACAAAAGAGTCGGTGTCCCAGCCTAATTACAATAGGTCCCCAGCACACTGTAGTGCCAGCAGAGCATGGTTTCAACCTTGCGTTCAAGCATTCGCTCTCTGGGTACCCCCAATAAGACAACGTCTCGCACCCCTTCTCCTTTGCGTCTCTCCAAGGTTTCCTTCCCCAAAAGGGCCCGCTCTATGTCGGTCCTTAGAAAAGGAAGACATGAGGTACAAACACACGGAAACAAATGTTGATGGTGACTTGTTATTATCCTGACAATAATATATGTAGAAATAAATCCTTCCACCTCACTCGCCCACTGGCCAGCCCATGATGCAAAAGGAGCGCTTTCCAGCCCAAGGGGAAGAGCTTGCAGGAAGCGTTATTTGCGTACCCGTTACAGAACCATATACCGCCACATCTGCATCCTACACAAAGCCCGAGATGGTGCAAAGAAGATACACGCTGGGCACCGCACGGACCAGCCGCGGCAACACGGAGCCAAGCCCTCGTCCAATCAGAGCCTCGTTAGAAGGTGGACCTCAGGGTCGGCTCTGCCGGATTAGCCTTTCCTATTATGACACCACGCTCTGCCCAACATCCATATCCCATCGGGAGCAAATCTAATGCGTGTGGTTGCTCATTTCTCAAACTGCCGAGCCCTTTCTTTTCATTTGCATCCCTGCGATTCGTCCCTTAAAAAAAAAAAATACCCCAAGGCCTGGGTGCCCCCTCTCCGGCTCGGTTTTTCTTTTTAACCTCTTCCCATTCCTAGAAAGGATTAAATGTGTCTCCAAAACGCAAGCTGGAAAGGCGGAAGGCAAATGCCTCTCCTGGCTCCGGCATGCGCCCGCGGGGCTGCGAAAAGTGAAGGCAGCGGGCAACGCGGGGGAAATCGCGAAACGATCGGCCACAGTAGTTGAAATCCTAAAGCGCTCCAACTTACCCAAAATATGACATTGAAGCCAAATATGAAATATTTGATGCAACAACTGACTTCAGGACCCTTGTAGTGCTTCCCGGACATCCTCTGGGTTCATGAAGACACTTGCCCCGGCAGCCCGCGTTTGGAGCCCCGGAGCCCCGGTGCTCGGAGCAGCCCGGCCGGGAGCGGGGACTCGGGGACGCCACTCGCGGCCGCGGCGCGGTGGCCCGGGCTGAGCCGCGCGGGGACCGACCGGCGGAGAGCGGCTCCCGCACCTCCAGCCCCTGGCACGCCGAGGCCGCCGGAGTCGGGGTGGCCGTGAGCGGGCTGGGAATCGGCGCGCTGCAAGCCCCGACACTCGCCGAAGCCGGCCCCGAGCCCTAGGCTAGCGCCCCGTCCGTCCGCCAAACGATCCGTCCGTGGATCCGTCTACCGGCTTCAGGCAAGCGCGGCCGCAGCAGATGCTGGTGGAGCCACTGCTCGCCCGCCCGCCGGCTGGCGCGCGCCCTCCCACCCCCAGCTCCGCCCGCCGCCCGCTCCGCCCGCGGCTCCTCCGCCCGCCGCCTGCAGCTCCGCCCGCCGCCTGAGCCTCGGCGAGCCCCGCGCGCGCGTGCACGGGCTCGGGCGCACCCGGGTGGCCGTGGCACCACGTCGCCGCGCCACCTCCTCCTTCCCCCGCTCTCCGCTCCGCCCGCTCCCTTTCTCCCCGCCCCTTCTCCGGCAGCCGGGAGCGCCAACGACCCCCGAGCGCTGCGGCGGGGTAGTTCGGGAGGACGTCAGGCGGAAGGAAGGAGGGAAGGAGGGAGGCAGGCCGGAGCACGCCGATTGGAAGCAGCCTGACCGCGGTTGAGGAGCAGCGGGTCCGGTGCCTCTCACAGCTTCTGGAGGGACGCTGGGGAGAGGGTCGCTCCGGGGCAAGCGGGCTGGGTGAGTGGGGATCCTGCGCGTCCCCCGCCCTGGGACAAGCCCCTCTCGGGTGTAACCACACTCATACCCCCTCTTCCACCATCGGGTTACGTTGCATGAGAAGACACCCGGCTACTGAGCCGGCGAGGAAAGGGAGAGGAAAGGGGTGGTAGACTTTTCTGGGGGCAGAGGGAGAAAGTAGGGTGTTGGGGAATGGGGAGAAAAGAGAGACGGGAAACGGGGAGCGAACGGGGAGGGTTGCAAAGGAAAGTCTCCTGAATCTCAGTGTGGCTCCAGACCAACCTCCCCACCTGCCGTAGAAATGAGCTTCATCCTAGAAATGGGGATAAGGAAGGAGAGATGATCCAATGAAGTCCTGACCTGGGATACGACCTTCCCCTAGGATCTGTTGCAACCACACAAACCCAGACAGCAAATGCCCCCACGAGACGGAATAGTGCTGAAGAACCTTGACGGGTTTCTAACTCTTAAAAAGGGATCCAGGCGTTCCAGAACGGTCATCTGGGGAATTGGGGACTTGGAATAGGGTTTATAGATCATGAACCATTAAGGTTTTGACCTCTGGGGAAGGATAGAACGCGTGGCTGGAAACAGTTTCGGAGCCCTACCTGAGAAAGTGTTGCATCTTCGCCCTCCCCCTGGAGCATTTTCATAGGTGCTAGCAAGCAGATAACCAGTATCTCATGCAAGAAGGATGAAGAACCGCTCTGTTGTGTTGTTTTTGTTTTTTTGGTGTTTTTTTGGTTTGGTTTGGTTTGGTTTTGGTGGGGGCTTCAAAAAAAAAGGCTAGAAAGAGAGATGAGATCAGGAAAATTTTCATGTAACATGGTTCTGGGCACAGAAATCTGCTTGTTTCTTAAGCACTCCAGGTGATACTTAAGCAAGCTAAAGTTTGAGAACCCTTTGGCAAAGGGAAACCTACTTAACCACCTCTCACCTTTCTCAAAAACTGGCTAGCTAATTGACAACCTACAGTCCAGCTTTGGAGGGGCAAGACCTTACATTTTCTTGCAATAAACCACACTTTGAAGTAGGCTTGTTGTTGAGGGAGATGGAGGCGACATAGAGGTTATAGATAGGAGCCAGGGTACCCACAAAAGTGGGAGAGCCAGGAAATCCTACCCATTCAATACCACAAAACTAATCCTACCCATTCAATACCACAGAACTATGACACTGGCTCACTGTGCATGAAATAACCAGCCTTTCAGATGAAGTAACCCTTTCTCCCTCAAAGGTGCTTTCCACAAAACACACAGCATACCTACCACCAATTTGATAGGCTTCAGAGGTAAGGTCTGCGTTCAGCAGCAGATTCCCTAATAACAAGAACGCTCTAACAAACTTTACCTAATTGTAATATTTTAATTCTTGCTATATATAAATAGAACAGTCGCTGCAGATTCCTGGATGTCAGAAGAAAAGTCTGTCTTAAGCTGATGTGACACCATTCAGACAAGGACTAGAAATTAGGTCCAACTGATGACTCAGTTGATCCCTACGCAAGATTTATCTTTGAAATAAAAATCAACAGAGAAGGCAAAGTTCAGATAACTCATTGGTAACTTGGCAGGGAGAGTCTAGTTGAATTCCCATTTCATATATCAAAAATAAGTTCTAGGAATATTAATGAGTTAAATATGTTTTCTAAAGCAAACTAGAGGAATAGAATATGCATTAAACCTCTAGCTAGAAGTATTTCTCAATTTAGAAGCAATAGAAGGAATGATCAATGGATATGACTTGGTAATATCTTAAAACTTCTATGAGTCAAACATTTTTTTAAAGGCAACCTAAACCAGGAAAATAATATATTGACAGCAAACATTTTTTTTAAAAGTCTGAATATATGGGATGATATGGATGGACTTAGAGACTATTATGTTAAGTGAAGTAAGTCAGTCGGACTTACTTCACTTTATTGTATGTCAACTATAAGTGAATATATATATATATATATGTATATGTAGTCATGGGATGTGGAGTATAGTGTGGGAGTGGAGTCAAGGGAATTGTAAAAGATATGTATGATACTGGGGGGAAGTGGGGCAGCGGATTGGGGGAGGGAGGTTGTCACTTCGGGGGGTAAAAAGTATAACTATTGCACTGTGTTGTACAGCTGAAACTAATTCTAAAAAATGTGTCTTTCATAATAAAAATAATTAAAAGAAAAAAGTCTGAATATATAAGTAGGGCTTATACAATTAAAGTAAAATATAGAGTCTCAATAATTGAGTATAAAAAGAAAAGCCACATACAAAGAAATTGAATAGTAATAAATATAGGGTGAAAATATTACTAGTAATCAGAAAAATATACATTAAAACACATTGAAGATAACGATGCAAAGATTATGAGCACTGGTTTGCTCATGTACTGCTGGTGTTGCTATGAAATGATATCATCCATTTGGAAAGCATTTTTGGCTGTATGTTGCAGGTCAGAGTATTCTTACATTTTGACTTCAGCAGCCCCACTTCTGGGAATCCAGCCAAAGAAATATTCCAAAATAGGCAAAAAAAAAAAAAAAAACTTGTATACTGCAAGTTGTACACCATAGCATTATTTATATTGAAGACTTGGCCACAATTTGCAGATCCTAGATTAGGGGCTATACCCAGCTTCTTGTAGCTGCCTGGACCTCAGTATTGCTTCCTGCTCTCTGCCTATGCACGGGGTCATTCCAGGTCTGTGCCTAAAGCACTCTCCCTGCCCTTTGTGAGCTGCTTTCTCTTTTTTTTTATCTTCAACACTTTGATCAGCTTTTTCAAGGCTCCTTCTTTTGTCCCCTCAACACCTCTTACATTCTTCCATTTTGGCACTTGGAGACTACCTGTAATCACTTGTTTACCTGCCCTTCGCCTCCACTCTGCTGTGAGGCCTTCAAGGGTGTGGTCCATCTCCCTTTAATCTCAGAATCACTAGTGCCTTGCTAATGCAGCAGGTGCTTGATAAATATTTATTAAAGGGATGGATGAATCATTTACTCAAACCTTTTACAGACATCAAGGATGATAATTATAAAGAGTATGTGGCAACCTGTGAATACATTACAATGTTAAATTGTAAAGACACTATATATGGAATTATCTCAAAGTAATATTGTTAAATGAAAAAAATCAAGGTGCCAAAACAGTATACACAGTAGGTTACCATTTTGTAAAAAAAATGCATGTTGGCAAAGGAAAGTGGAAATTTTATGTATACATACACTTCCTTGTTAATGGGTAGGCTATCAGTAGATGAAAATAAAGGACACTGGTAATAATAGCTGGGCATGGGTTGGGCAGACTGGAGGACTAAAAGAGATAGGTGGGAAGGAGACATGCTTTATTTTTTAATGTACCCTTTTTTTTTGTTTTCAAAATCTTTACCATGTCCATATGTACCCATTTTGAAAAATAAATCACTGTACAAAATTGTATGCAATTACAAGGAAAAAAGTTAGGAATTAATTCTGGCCAAATAATAACAGATAGATTGTGGGATTGTGGCTGATTTGGGTTTCATGTTTCTAGTTTCCAATTTTTTTAATGTGGTTATATATTGCTTTTACAATTACAAAGACAGAATCATGAACAAAGACATAAACTTGAAACTAAGTAATCATATTTACTTCATCACAACTCCATGACTCAATAAATTCTGGTCTATTTTAAGGCAAAAGGAAAGTAATTTTCTCCCTGGAGACTGTTATGGCCATCTCCTTTATAATTCTGAGATTGAAAAATGGTTAATAAGTTTAATTACTGAAAAGCTAATCAGTCTTGCAAATGGCAGTAAGAACAGGTAAAGCGTGTTCTTCTAATAGTTGCCTAGCTGAACAGCAAGATATGACAACAGTATTTTAACCTAAGACACCAAATTTAATGAGCTTGTCTGTCTGTTTCACTCTTCCCACCCCTTTTCTGTCTCCTTCCTCTCTCTTTCTCTTTCACTATCTCACTGTTCCTCTAGTCATATATTTTTTTCTTTTCCTTCTCTGTAGCCAGCACTACTGGTTGCCTACACACCTCCATTGTCTCCTTCCTCTCAGAACCCTGGTGCTGTTCCAGTGTCCCCCCTCTTTTAACAGCCATGTGCTTTGGGAAGACAAGCCCCAGGCCAGCTCTAGTGGCTGAGTGGCTCTTGCCCAAGTTTGGTTCAGAAATCGGCATGTGACACAATTCTGGCCAATGAGAAATGAGGAGAATCTGCTGGGGACTTCCTCACATCTAAGAGATGGTTTCTTTTCGGTGCTGGATTTAATTGTGTTTGGATATGACGCCTGGATCTTCTACAGCCTGACAATAAAGACCATACCAAGGATGGCAGAGAGACAATGAAAAGAGCCTAGGCCTTCATGACATTGTTGCATGGCTGACTTAAGCCTACCTCAGGACTTCCGGTCATATGAGAGAATTTGCTTGGTTAAGGCACAGTAAGAGGTTTTCTGTTTCAAACAGCTAGCTGAAAATATCCTGACTTACTCTCCCAATGTTCTCAGCACCATTCTTTTTCTATTTTTCCCTCCCTTCTCCTCTCTCCCCCAACTGTTCCTGTTTCTCTTAAACAATGCAGGGGAAACCTTTAGCATTGTCGGGCCAGCACACACCCACCCCTTTCAGACTTTCTCAACCATAAAGTTCTTCCTCATCTCCAGCCCAACTTGTACATCACAGTTGACAGGCCTGGATAGGTCTAGGCCAGGACAGCCAGAGAGCCTGTGTCACTGGAGTTGGGATTCAGTAACAAAGCAATCCTGCTTGTGGCTGAAACAGAGGCAATGTTTTCAGGAGAGCTGGGGGCCTGTGTTTCCAGGAGGAAACCAAGATGCTCACTCTTTCTCTCTCTCTCTCTGCAGAAAGAGGAAGGAAGCATAAACACCAGAGAGAAACAGTGGCAGAGTCTGTGACAGTGTGGGCCGCACAAATGGTTGTGCATTTTGTGCTCTAAAAGGCCCCTGGCCCTGCTAAAGGCATTCTGCTTCCAGATTTCTCCAAGTAGAAGACCCTGTCCTTGAGATTTATGAGACTTTTATTTTTTTAATTTTTTTTATGAGACTTTTAGATAGATTCTTTTGTCACACCCCATTTTGGCTTTAGCTACTTTGAAGCAGGCATCTCACATTTGCAAATCAAAGAACCTTGATTAAAACAACAGGTTATCCCACCTCAAATCCATTATGAAATGACGTTTTTTTAAATTGACCACAATATAAAATTAAAGTGTATTTTTTTGTGTGAGGATTAATGAATTCAATATTGTGCCTACTGTTCCTTAGTTGAAAAGTGAGCAAATTAAAATGTTGTATTTCTCTAAAAAACACTTGCTCCCCCAGGATCAGTACCACCCTCATGCCCGTCTTGCCCCATGCCCACACATACCCATTAAAGAAGACTACCTTTCAGGGCCCCAAGAAGAACATGAAAAGAAAGTGTATCTCTCATAAATATAATTAAACAAGCATATGCAGAACACAGTTGTTCCACTTTAAAAAATCAATTATAATTGCTTGTGTTAATAAAATGAATTCTATCTTTAACAAAATATGACAGAGCAGGCATTGATTTTTCTGTTAGTCTGCCTTTCTTGGGAAAGAGCACCTCAATTTCTCCCCACAATGGACTAGTCATCTAGGCCTGTGAATCAAGGTGCCTCACCTTACCAGGGACAAGTGCATGACATCGTTTGGCCAATCAGAAGTTCTCTTGATGTTATTGAGAAGAGGGAATAAAAGACCAAAAACCACCTGAAGTCCGTTGATTGCAGCCCCTCGTCAAGCCTGAGGATGCCCGTGAGACCTTTGGGATCATCCTGGCTCTCTTGCCCTCTCTCTAGTGCCTTCAGCTAGTTTATTTCTTTCTAGTGAATTTCCTTTCTGATTAAATTAGTCAATGACTGTTTTTATGACTTACACCAAAAAATTCCTAATGGATACTAAGTGAGCTTTAAAAACTGTACTTCCAAAGAAAAATGTTAACTTTCTGATTTCAAAAGTAAGATATTCTCATTATACAATATTTAGAAAACATTTTTAAAGAATCACCCATGATGGCATTTCCAAAGAAACTACCATCATTATTTTGATCTATTTCATTCATTAATAAATATTGGGTTGTCAGAAAAGTTATGACGTATTTTTTCTATGTTTTTGTTGCAAAAATGCGTCATGACTTTTCCAACAACCCAATATTTTTATATGATTTATCTCATCCTTTAGAGACAAAAACTTAAAACGATTATATTTTCCACTTGCCAGTGCCCCAAAATAGCACAGAGATACCCTCCATCAGAATAGAAGTAAGTCCATCTCAATTTCCAGGCTGTGGTTATCCCAAGATTCTAACCTCATCGTCCCATATCTCTAGTCCTTGAGTGTTTTCCTTTTCCACCATATATCAGTCTTTTGTTTCCATTCTTATAAGGCAAACATGCCTACATGCTTCCTTACATTCCCAACTCACTCCTACCTCCAAACAATCTCTAAATGCTATTGCCACCGCACAAACTCCACCCTTCCATCCATCACCAAATCAAATTATTTTGCAGTTAAGCATAATTCAACTCCTTATGAAATCTGCCCCTATTGAACATGAGGCATGCTAATCATATCCAGTAACTCCCTCTTTCACTATATAATTTCTTTTAAAAACCTTCTTAAAACTTTGCTTCTGTGATATATCCCTTTCCAATGGAGCTATAATTGGTGGAACATTTAAACTTAAGATTCAGAAACAAGGAATAGAAGTAGATTCATCAGTTATCATTTTAGGCTTTATTATGCAGAATCAGTTGATTCAATAACACATATTTATTGATTACATCTCCCATTAAAAGCACCTGTGTTTACATTTCCTGCCCTAAGAATGCAACTGGAACAATTAGTGGTAAGAATACAACTCAGAAGGGATTAAGTGCTACAATTTCAACAAAGTGCAATATGTATACAGAAAACAATCAGAATGGAATCATGAAAAAAACACCTCTTTTAGTTCTATTTTTTCTTTTCTTTTTCTTTCTTGTAGTAGTAGCAGTAAAGTACAATTACTAGGAATAAAAACTAGTTACGTTGATCAAGACTGAATATCTTATATCTGAATCATTTAGTGGAATGAGGTCAAGACTCCAAAAAAATAAGTTCTAAAGTTTATACTTAACCACATGGTACAGCTACTGTGAAAAATAGTTCAGCAGTTCCTCAAAACATTAAAAAGAATTATCATATGATTCAGTAATTCTACTTCTAGATATATACCCCAAATAATAGAAAGCAGGGACCCGAACAGATACGTATATAGCAATGCTCCTAGAGGCACAATAGCTAAAAGGTGGAAACAAACCAAGTGCCCATCGACAGATGAATGGATAAACAAAATGTGGTGTATATTATTCAATCTTAAAAAGGAAGGAAATTCTGACACATACTACAACATAGATGAAACTTGAAAACATATATACTAAGTAAAATAAGCCTTACACAAAAGGACAAAGACTGTATGATTCCACTTATATGAACTACCTACAACAGGCAAATTCATAGAGACTGAAAGTGGAATAGAGGTTACCAAGGACTGAGGGGCATGGGAATTGGGAGGTTTTTGTTTAATAGGTAAAGAGTTTCTGTTTGGGAATATGAAAAATTTCCAGAAATTGATAGTGATAATGGTTGTGAATACTTAATGTCACTGAACTGAACACGTAAAAATGGCTAAAATGGTAAGTTTTATGTTATGTCTGTTTTACCACAATAAATAAATCTACAATTATAACAAATACCAAATTCACCGGGCTCACAACAAATACTGTTGACAGAATGAATGACAAGGCAAAAAAATAGCTTGCAGAACTTTTCATATTTTACAAGTATGGAAAACATATTAAACCATCTGCTGATTAAAAATATGCATGTTTTGACTTGCACATGAATCAAATTAACATACATAAATCCAGCATCTCACATCACTAGATGCACAGCCATAGCCAATGTAATTTCCTGTGTTTCTTCAAATTCATCAATTCCAGTAGCATAATTATTAGTAACAGTAAAAATTTATAACTTTTATTTCAATTAGATTATCATTTATCCTACATAATGAAAAAGGCAGGAGATCATTGACATTCTAAATTTTTATGTTCACCTTTGCTCTATAATACCTAATATCACCATGGTAAACTAAAATTTGAGGTACAGAGTAGGAACTATTGTCCCTCACTATGATAAATTGGAATTGACAAAAATACTATATATATTGAACCCTAGCACCTTGCTGCCTTATATATAACCTCAGAAAGGTGCAGTTTTCCAAGTTGCAGCTTCTATAACTTCAGCTTCTACGTGCCCCTCGGCTCCTGCTAGTCCATCACCACCTTCTTCTCTCCAAGACCTTATTTGGAAAAAAGAAGACTCTCTTAAGTAGTGGAACGACTTTGTATACTGTTACACTAATGGACCATGCAGCCATCCCAGGAGGAAGAACAGATCCAAACTGCAAACCTAGGTCAGATGCAACACCAGGTCTGGGCCAAGACCATTAAGAGGGGCTCAAATCTGTTACTAAGAGATATCCTGTCTCTTCCTCTTAACTCCTCAGTCCCTCGGGATTCACCACCACCTAGAGCACCTCTCTAGGACCAGGAATGTAGCCTGGATGGAATGTCTAGCACCCAGCCTCCCCTGGCACCCTGCTTTTGATACACCTCTAGCACCATATGCATGCCCAGCACTTTGGTCATTGGGTCCTCCCAGGACTGTCGGCACCAAGCCTATGAGAAAAATTGGAGTCTTTCTAGAGCTGTGTTTTCTAGCCTTGTCTGCTAATAAGAATCATCTAGAGATATTGATGTAATCACATTCCCAGGGCCTTTCCCTGAATGTTCATATTTTGTAGGCCTTTTTGGGGTTGTGGGGGGTCTAGAATGAGCCACTCCAAGATATGCCTCAGTGGTATGCAGATTACTTTGAGTTAAAGGCAGTTTTAGCTTCAGGCTCAAGAGAAACTTCTTTTCCTCCCTTTAAACTACCTAAAAGTATTTGAATTAGAGGCCTTGCCCATAAGAGATTATCAGAGATAACATCTTTTGACATATCTATTGGACAGGGCAAACTACTAATTACTGAAGGTCTGCTCTTCTTATCATCCTGCAATGACCTTTTGAAGCCCCCAAAGCATTTTACCTTATCCCTAGCTCAGAGTGCCTTACATACCTCAATCCCCTTTCTGTCTCCCAACCTTTCATGTATGCAGAGGTCTCTGACGTGCTCATGTATACGGGGTTCCCATGCACAGAAAATTAAATTTGGTTTTCTCTTGTCAATCCGCCTCCTGTTGATACTATTATTCAGCCAGCCAAAAGAACCAGAAGAGGGAAAGATAATTTTTTCCCTTCCCCACAGGGTCCAGGAATCTGAATTATTAAAACTGCCCAGGTGATGCTCTTTACCAAGGAATTCTGGCAAATATTGAGTTCAAGTACTCTTCCAAGTATTCCTGGAGTCTCCCAGTAGGGAAAGTTGCCCTGCATAGATTCAAGCCTCACCATCTACAGGAATAATGAAGGTGAGTGTGCTTTGTACACTAGGAAGTCTTTGTAAATCCAAGACATGCTGTCATTATCATGATTATATACCTTTAGTCATAGCCACCAGGACAACACGCACAGCTGGCTGAGCTTCTCAATGTTAGGTAGCAGTGAAACAATGGAGGAGGAGGAGGGGTGGGAGGGGGTCCATGGTGCCTACAGAAAAAGCTCATAACTAGCTTGATTAACTGCCTGCAGCCACATATCTGTTTTTACAACAATGGATGACAAGAGGGGGTCTGGAGCAAGATAAGAATCTGAGTCAACAGACCTCCACCCATCTTAGGAGGTCACGCCCTTCCGTGGAAAAGCTTGCACCACTTTTCCCACCAAATTAATAGGTAACTCCCTCACCTCACCCAGCAAACTATAAATCAATCTCTCTCTCTCTCTCTCTCTCTCTCTCTCATTCTCTCTTATTCTCTCTCTCTCTCTCTCTTTCTCCTCCCCACCCCACCCCCCACCTAGGCTAGGCCTGTTCTCTTCCTTGAGAATGTATCACTAATAAACCCTGCTTGCATATTAATTAACTTGCTGACTTTTGACTCTTCACTGCGTTGTTGAAGGAGGATGAGGAGGCGCCAAAGGCAGAGGAGAGAGGGAGATGGAAGAGCAAAGGCTGGAACCTGGAAATTAATACATATGTATTTCAACTCACAGCTGCTTCGGCTGCTGATATAAATCAAAGGAAGAAGAGGGGAGATTGAGGGGGAATAATGTAAACAGCATACATTTTTACAATTTAAAGACTGAATGTGTTAGCTGAATCATTCATTTATTGAACTTCCAATTTTATTTTTTAGTATTACTGTGTGAATGAAAGTGAGATACATCTAGGTGCTAAGATAAGCATCTGTCAGGTGGCTGCCATACAAAGTAATTTTAGTGAGTTTTAGTCATCTACATGACTGAAACACAGCTAGGGAAAAGTTTCTATCCTGGAAATTTTGCTGCTGACATAACATAAATTAAAGACAGATGCAGTGAGAGTGTGGTCATCCTCCATAGACAAAAAGACCAGGCCCTTCCATGCAATACTGATGAAGAAAATATGCAGTGATGCTAGAAATGCATATTCTTGTAGGGTGCTGGGAGATAATTGAGCAATAACCACTCTCATTTTGAAACTTGAACAAGAAGTTGTGAGTTCAATAGTAGCCTGCAGAATCACCTGGCATTAAGAAAAACCATGCTCACCGTCTCCTTAAAAAGATCTTTTGTGACTGAATATGTTCCTGCACAGTGACAGAGAAACGGACTGGTTTTTTATGATCCCCTCTACAGCCATGATTATATAACTGAATATAAGCAACTCAACTCAGCAAAGGCACGTTGTACCAATAAAAAGCATAAATGAGAACAGCAGTGAAATCTCCTAGATGCAATTGTTTCTGAGTAAAATTTAAAAGACAAAGGAAGTCAAAGTTAGCAATGTATTTTAACCTCTTTAGAAACTCTGGCTCTTTCCATTGTGACAAACATAAGCAGTTAGTTGAGCTGCAGCCAAGAGATGGCTTTGGGATAACTAGGAAGTACATTAGATGCCAAAAATAGTTAAATGCCAAATGTGCCTCAAAGTAAGCCTCCTTTGATGGTCACATAGACATGCAAAAGACACTTCCCGATTCTCATTTTCAATTATAATTCCTTAGGCCTCATTACTTTTCCCTCAGCTATGCATAAGACAAAAAGTTTTTTCACACCCATCCTGCTGATAACATTTCAATCACTAAAACTTTCACTTTAAAACTAACAAGGCTTTTTATCTCCCCGAGCTGGCCAGATAACGACTTTACGGGCCACTCAGAATAGCCACAGAGAGCCGAAAGTGGGGCAGCTCCGACAAACGAGATCCCTGTAGATAAACCACAGAATTCAGGGCAGTCAAGAGTTGCAGCCTCTTCCCTCACTTAACCTTGTACCAAAGCTACTGTGGGTAATTTGATTCCCTGTGTACCTTTCTCCGTCAGAATGGAAAGTGGATTTTAGGAAGATGTTAGGTACAGGGGATGGCAACACCCTATAAAAGAAGGAAAACTGGTTAAGGACCTAGGAGACCTACCCTAACTCATTTGCCACCTCAGATCAATTAATTACTCCACTACTCAAAAGCCTTCGTTTCCTTACCTGAAAGGGAGGAGGTTAGACTGTGAGACAGAAATCTTGATCTGGAAGAACTCTCCAAAGTCCCTGCTTTGGGCAAGTGGAAAAGGAACTGGGTCCTATACTGTGGTTCTCTCCGAACTTTCTGCTTTTATCTGTTTACACACTGGGGTTTCATAAAAGATTTCATTTTCTGAAAGGTATCCCTTGCTAACGAAACTTTGCAAACTACTGGACAAAAACAACTGTTTCCTTTCAGCCCTCACACCCTCTGATTCTTTAACATTCAATGATAAGAGGGATGAATGCCTGCTACAGTAACTAGAAGGTTCTCAAAGTACTGACTAGATATTGATGGAATCTGAAAAATGAAGAGACGCTTGAAGGATGTGAAAGAGGAAACTTAAAGAGAAACCCAGATGGTACATCTCTCTACCAGGCTTGGAAAAAGAGAGGTATGGCTCTTTCTTCCTTCACTTCTTACTACCCCTTACCCTGCTCTCAGCTCTGGCTTTCCAATAGAAGCATTTGTGGAGTCGTTACGTTATCCAGAGGCCTGGGCCTTACCTCTGGGGGTTCTCAGCCAACAGATATGGGGATGGAGCTTTCCCAGCTATTTGTTTTGCGAGGCGGGGGGTATGTGTGTGTCTTAAGATCCATAGGTGAGCTGATGTGTAAGTAAGACTGAGAATCTCTGCTTGGCTTCAGCTCTTCAACTTTTATAAACACCATTCTTTTAAAAGACGTTAATGACCTCCCATTAACCGAAAATGTCAGTTATCATTTTCAGGCAGATGACTCTGAATCGAACTCTTTAGAAACAGCCACCTTCCATCTGGGGATGTCAGCAGCCCTTTGCCTGCCTGCCAGCCTTCTTCCAGTGGCTCAGGCTCCTAGTGACTTGAAGACATCTTTGACCCTGACACTCTCAGTGCTGCCAGCATTCTATCTGCACAAACCTACCCTGTATCTGATCCCAAAGCAGGTCACAGCTTTCCATTCCTATTGCCACTTTTTAAGCCAGGCTCCCTTCATTATAGCTTGTCTATATTGTTTATAGCCACTTACAGAGTTCTCATTCTCTCATCTTTATCCTATTTGAGCCATGTTAATCTGATGTTATTAGCCCCTTGTTTGAATAACTACAGTGTTTCCCACTGCCTAACCTTTCAAAATAAACCCCTTCATCTATCTTTTAGGTTCTACAATAGGAACCCAATCTAAGTTTCCAACCTCATCTTGGATTACACAGCAGCATGAACACAATCCATTGCCAAAGAGTATTGCTCTTTCTTTTGTAAACATATCCTAAGCTTTCCTGATTACTAACCCTCACCCTACGGCTCCTGCAGCCTAGAAGACCCTCCTCCCCACACTATGCCACCTCGTTCCTAAATACTCTCCAGAGTTCTCCAAGTGAATTTGAAACAAATGAGAAACACTGTGCTTGACCCTCTTACATGGGAGTCATTATATCCTGCCTTGCAGTATGGTTCTATGGCTATACCTTATCCCCTTTACTGAGTTGTTGCTTCTTCAGAGCACTGCACTGTGAGCCTTACAGCTGTATGGAAAGAGGGTGGACTTTGGAGCCAGAGAGCCCTATGTTTAAATTCCAGCTCTGCCACCTAACAGTCATTCGAGCTGTAAAATTATTTAACCCTTCTGTGCTTTAGTTTTCCCATCTGTAAAATGAGGATTTTAATATCCAGGTCCTAGAATTAAAGTCTGAGTGAGATAAAACATGCAAGGTGTCTGACACAAAAACAGGCTCTCAACAAATGGTGGTTCCCACTAGCAAACATTGATGGAAGTGTGACAGGCTGTTATCTATAATGGAAGATGATGTCCCGCTAACCCAGCCTGATGAGAACCTTCCTGTATATTGTAGATCTTCACCACCTGGTCCTTTTTACTCATTAAGAAAATGACAGGGTTATTTTTATTTTTGAGATAAGACTTTGAAGCAGAAGTAATGGCTTCTTGTCTTTTATCTATTGGCCAATAATAATAAGGGTTGGTAGTAATAGTGAATAGCAGGTAGATAGGAAAGAGAAGAAAGATTAGCAAGAAAACTCCAAATTCAAATATCCAGCAATACAGATTGAGAGACACAAAATGACCACAACTTTGCAAAATAAATATTACCAAGTTGTGTTATGCTATATAAAAAGGAATAAGCTACCATAGTTAGGAGGTAGAAATTATTAAATAATAGGAGAGCTGTTAAGTTGTATTTGATAAGATTCAACACTAATCCCTAATAACATTATTTTAAGAGTAAAAATAGAAAAAAACATGTCCTTAATGTAAGAAAACATATAAGATTAAAATCAACAGCCAGCATTATATTTATTAGTAATAGTATATGATATCACCATTCAAAATATGTACAAAAGAAGGAATATTATTTAGTTTTTTCTGAAAGTTATGGTCAATGCAATAAGACATGATATAAAATTAAAGGTATATTATTAATAATGAAGAGATAAAATAATATTTTTTGGATAAAATCAATATACAATTATAACTCCAAAGAAATAATTTAAAAATTAATTAAATACAAGGGGATGAATGTAAAATAAACAGAAACATTCCAATATAATTGAAATAATCAGCTAAAAAATATTTGAAATGGTTGTAAAAAAATGAATACAGAGATCCCACACACAGTAACAACAAAAAATATAAAACATCTTAAAAGTAGCTTTAATGCATAATGTCTTTTATCTAGTCAAATATTAAAGGCAAATTTTTATTGAGATATATTTATCAAAGCTTGAGAAAGTGGAAAAGTATACTGTGTTCCTGAGTAGGAAGACATTGTTAGAAATATTTAAATATTTTCAAAATAATATTGGTCTAATCAGACATTCAACAAGTATTTACTAAGCACATACTATATGCCTAGCAAAATTCTAGGTACTGGGGATAACCAACCATATGGGCAATGAATAACACAAAGACTGCTCACATGGTGTCTAGATTCTTATGTAGTGGATACACCAAACAAACAAAGCCTTACTAAAAAATATAATGTCAGGCAATAATATGTTAATTGAATACAAATGTGACAGGGTTAAGACAGAGAATGAAAGGAAGGAGATGCTGTTTAGAATAGAGTGGTCAGGAAAGGCTCCTGAAGAAGTATCATTTGAGCAGATAATTGAATAAAGTGTAGTAGAGAGCCATGTGGCTGTCTGGGGGAATAGTGTTTCTTGCAGAGAGAACAGCACATGCAAAGCCCCAGATGTGTAACTTTACCTGATGGCTTCCAAGAACAATAAGTAGTCCAGTGTTGCTGAAGCAGAATGAGTGAAGTAGAGTCTGGTAGGAGATGAGGACAGAGTAATGTGGGACAGATCCTACAGTCTTGTAAACCATATGAGGACTTGGGGGCTTGTCCTAAATTGGATAGTAACCATTTGAAGATTTTGATCAGGTGAGGATATGATCTAATTACATTTTTATAAAAGATTTGTCTGGTCTCAGTGCTGAGAATAGGGTAGGAGTGATGGGGAAATAGTGCGAGTCGTTGGGAGACTATTTCAATAATTCAGGCTAGAAAAAATGGGCTTATACTAGGATATAAGAGGTAGAGGAATCAGAAGAAGACTTCAGATATATTTTGGAGGGAGACATAAAAGATTTGCTAGAGGGTTAGGTAAAAGGGATGTGAGAAAGAGAGGAATCAAGGTTGGACCCTAGGTTTTTGTTTTGAAGAAACTGATTAGATCATAGTATTGAATACTGAGATGGGGAAGGCTGGACAGGAGCAGGAATTGGAAAATTGAAATGAAGAACTGTGTTTTGGAATGTTAAACTTCAAACGTCTATCAGACCCCAAGTGGAGATGTTGAACAGGCAGTTGCTATGAATCTGAAACTCAGGGGATCTTCTCAGGCCATCAGCAGATAAATGAAATGTAAAGCCACGAGATTGGATGAGGTCATCTATGGAGAGAACACACATAGAGAGACCCCTAGGGGTCACCAACATTTGAAGTTTGGGACAAGGAAGAAGATCCCACAGAGAAAATTGAAACGAGGCAGCTAGTAAAACAGGAGAGAGCCTGGATGAGTTTGGAGTCTCAGAAGCCAAAGAAGTGGTTTAATATAACTCTCGTCAAAATATCAATGATTTATTTTTATTAACTGACAAAATCATTCTAGAACATACCAGAAAAGCTTAGAATAAAGGACCATCCCACCACATACTTCTTTTGTAATAACTGATAAGGACATGATGTTTTTATGACCTTGTAAAATGAAATATTTCTTACTTTAAAATAAGCTATTTGCTTATATAAGCATTTGGTTTTTCACTATATACCCCTCCATTTTTATATTGGCACATTTGTTTCAGTCACCTTGCTGGTTTTCTTGTAGCAAGTTAGGAAAATGTAGCATATGCTTGAGAAAAATTTGTCTAAGAAATTTTGCTTTTCATACTCATAAATTGATCCTATTGTATACAAAAGTCTAATATGCTATAAAGAAGCATGTTAAACCATTGGGCAGGGATAAATTATTCGATAAATGGTGCTGGGACAAATATCTAGAAATATAAATACTAAATTGATTTTTCACTCCATTCTACACACCTAAGTAAATTCTAGATTGGTTAAAAAGTTTGGTACTTAAATAGTCTAACAATAGAAACATTTGAAGAAAATATGGACACTTATTTGTAAAACTTGTACAAGGGGGAAGATTTCCTAAGCTTAAAAATAACAGAAGAAATTATAGAGTAAAAGACCAGCAGATTTAAGTCTATAAAAATGAAAAATTCTGTGCACAAAAACCTGAGATAATATTAAAATGGGAAGATGTTTTCAATACAATGTCAAAGTTAATATGTTTTCTGCATAAAGAGCTCACACAAACTGATAAGAAAAGCACTAGGGCCCAATTGATAACTGGTCAATAGAACATTCATAAAAGAGGTCATTACCACTTCATGGATGGTGTAGAGGCCTGACCACTGCACTGTACACCTGAAGCTGATGTTGAATAATATGTATGTCAACTATAATTTAATATACATACCATATTTGCCGGCGTATAAGATGATTTTTTGGCCCTGAAAAATATGCCTCCAAGTGGGGGGTCGTCTTATACACCAGGTACACTTCAGATAGACTGCCCATAGTGCTTGCCCCGTGCCATAGTGGCCTCCCGATGCCCGCCCACTTCATTCCACATAC